AGTGAATAGTGAAAGTGTTAGCTAACCTAAAAAGGTCGTAACTGACATTCGCAGTTACATAGTGAAAGTGTTACCTAGCCTAAAAAGGTCGTAACTGATATTCGCAGTTACATATAGTGAAAGTGTTAGCTAGCCGAAAAAGGTCGTAACTGACATTCGCAGTTACATATAGTGAAAGTGTTAGCTAGCCTAAAAAAGGTCGTAACTGATATTCGCAGTTACATATAGTGAAAGTGGTAACTGATATCCGCAGTTACACAAGTGATAAAATCAGCTAGTTTAGTTGATAATAGCTGCTAGTCAGTAGTGTTAGAAAACCAGCTACTACCAATAGATATTTGATACCACCGTACAATTTAAAGAAATCTTTTGAAATATACAGTGAACAACCGTAGTTTAACAACCGTGATAAATAGTTATAAAATTTCGCGACTAATCAATCAGTCGAACCGCTGGCCACTACCTTGCTATTTGTATTTGTTAATCGTGCATTTTGATTTTAACTACAGTCCACAATATTTCAGCGGCACCAACAAAGACGGCGGTGAGAGTACCCACCGGAACCTATAGGTGTAGGACGTGAGCGACTCGCGAAGTATCTTCGACAACATTTACTCCGGAGAGTTTCGCCCGTCCGGCACAGTTTCTTTGTTTGATTACAAAAACATTTTATCAAGCTGAGCTAATTTTATTTGCTATAATTGGAAATAAATTTACAGTGCATCAAAAACATAACGCTATACAAGTAGATTTAGCCCATAAATAAAATATACTTTCAATAGCAGTGGCAGCCCTTGCAAAAATTTTAGGTGGTTTAGGATCTAAAACTAGCGCTTCTCTAAATATAAACCTTAGTGTTCCTATACTATGTAGTTGCTTATTCGTGATTATAAATAACAGGTCGGGGAAAAGATTTCTTCGCATTTTGTTTGTATAAAATTGAACAAAAATATTTTTGGTTGTATTTTCTGTATTGATTTTGATTCCATATCAATACATTTAGGAAATTAAGAAAAATAAAAAGTAAAAAACACTCCATTTTTAAATTGTTTTTATGTCCGGCAAAATGAGTGAATCTAACGAATAAATTCGATACATTCTGAAGTTTTATTACCAAAAAGGGAGAAGATGTAACTCAAGCCGTGAAAAAAAATGTGACGTTTATGAACCTAATGCACACTGTAGTAAAATAGCACTAAGTTGGTTCAAGCGTTTTCGATCGGAAAACGCTTGAACCAACTTAGTGCTATTGTCGCTCGCTCTGGTCGTCCTCATACGGATAAAGTCGATGCCATTTTTGAAAAAGTAGAGCGAGATATGCATATTAGTAGTTAAGACATAGCCGAAAAATTTAGAATTAACTACTGAACAGTTTTCATCCATTTGAAAAAGTCTGGCTGTACAAAAAAGCTCGATGTTTGGGTACCAAACGAGCCCATTGAAAGAAACCTCATGAATCGTGTACTTATTTGCGATTCTGTATTGAAACGTAATAAATCCGAACCATTTTTGAAAAGATTGATCACTTGTGATGAAAAGTGGTTCACCTACGAGAAGAATGTGTAAAAAAGATTGTAGCAAAATCCGGATTAACACGCAATAAGGCGAGGCTGTGTGTATGGTGAAATTGGAAGGGCATCGTTTATTATGAGCTTTTACCGCCGGTCAAAACTAGGATCCCTACTGCCAACAACTAATGAGACTCAAAAAAGAAATTGAGAAAAAATCGACCGGAATTGATCTACGGAAAAGGGAGTGGCCTATCATCATGATAACACCAGACCACACGCATCTTTGGCCACCCAGCAAATATTGAGAGAGCTTGGTTGGGAAGTATTAATGAATTCACCATATAGTCCTGATGTTACACGCCCAGATTTTCGTCTGTTACGGTCTCTTCAAAATTATTTGGGTAGCGTTAGGTTAATATAGTAATTAAATGTAATGAAACTTAAAAAAATCTTGAATCTATATACAAATATAAAATACGAAGAAAAATTTTCACAAATCATTCAGTATAAGATCTACCAAATATAATACAGATGTATCTATGGGGCAAGCACAGTGCTTGTCGCTCATGACGTAGCATTTATTCTGCTAATTTGCGTTAAAAAATATTATCAATTGCGCTCGCACTACTCTGTTACGCTCGACAACCCTCATAGGATACAGGTTTGCGCGTTTACCGCCGAATAGAACCCATTTATCGTATCTCTTCAATTTCAGGACACTCTCTTTGTTGCCCCAGCTAGCATTGGAATCCGAATCATCGACGTATCGAATAATATGCAGTTTCGTCGTCACTTGGAAGGAAAGGCTTGGAGTTGGCCTCTAAAAATCTTGGCGTGCTCGGCATAGCGGGACAGTATTTCATGGCGACACATCGCTTGTAACTTTACAAGGTGGAAGTTCGGCCTCACATGGAATACTGTTCTCATCTCTGAGCCTCCGGCCCAGTACCACTTGAGGTCACTCTATCAAGTCCGGAGGTAAGGACTCATCATAACTAACAAAATGAGCCCAAATTCGTCACACCTAGTTATACTAAGTGACCGGTATCGTTAATTTTCCAGAAAATGGCAACGGAAGATCGTTTTTAGAGTATAAAAAACTATTATATTCAACAAAAGAGTCACTACCATTTGAAGATGAAGAACCAATTTATACATAGTAGTTTTTAGTTATATTTGATTTGGTTTATTTTTGTCATAAAATGTACCGAAAAACAGCATAATTTTGGTCGATTTGCAAACGCATCCTAATAACCGCTTTAGCTTTATTACGTCGCGAGGAATTACTAAAACTTAAGAAATTATTAACGGCAATAAGTATAAAAGGAACTACGGATGTTTCTATTCTTCATTTATGTTTCTCGCGTGTAGTGGTGAATGACGATCGAAATTATGAATCGCAAGTACGAACAGGAATATAAACCTGAGTGGAAACAAAATCCTGAATATTCGTTATGGTTGACAAAGGACAAAAATAGTGATAACGCCTTATGTAAAGCTTGTGGTACGATATTTTTGAGTAGAATCACAACAATTAAAAGTCATGCAGAGCCTGAAAAATATCGACAGAAACTTATACACTATAGTGGACAATCTAAGGCAAAGAAAAAAGATGAAGCTGCGCTGCGTCCCAGTTATTTTGTTTTAGCAGTATAAAATTACCTTACCTAATACCTACATTGGTTAAAGTTCAAAGAAATCATTATATAATAAATACATACGTATTATATTATTATCTGTGCTAATATCAACTTTTGTTAATTATATAATGTTATCGGTTTGTTTGTTTTAATTGCCTTTCATAAGGTACCTAGAACCGCGGGCCAGTGGCGGTATTCTGTACGCTCGAAGCGCATCTTATTATTTAAATTGCGTTGCTTGTAGCTAACTTACAGTCTGTTAAATAAACATTAAATATTATAAAATTAATTGACACACACACACACACACACACGCACGCACGCCACGCACGCACGCACGCACGCACGCATACGCAGACGCAGACGCACACGCACACTCACCAATTTACTAAATTTTAAAATTTAACTACCTACTATGACGCGAATTGACTGCACTAGATCCACTAGTCTCCAAAGAGAAATAGGTTTTTACTGATTGTTTTACTACTGTTCTAATTTAACTTATTTTTAAATTTCCGACTTTTCGGGTGCTTTACTGTATGTTATTATCTCCTAGCTTCCTAATTACAATTAAGATGCAGTCTTCTATAGGTAAGCATATGAATAGTGACTGAACATCAAAACTGACCAAAATGTCATTGTCAGCGATATGTAGGTCCTTTATCTCACAAACAAAATGGTATGAATCAAATGAAAGACCCATACAAACCGGATATTTAGTGGCAGCAGTGGTTCTCACCACCAGCTTTCACAGTTAGCTACCGTGGGTAAATCTTTGTTTCAGAGAGCACAAGGCATCTGTGACAGAAAACATCTGGCCGCCGAGCATCAGCACGTCAAGCAAGTATTGCAAGACAACAAGCTTCGGGTCCTGCGCCTACGTCACAGTGAACGAGTGAAGCCGGCCACAGTGTGCCTGCTGTACTATCGTATGTCAGAGAAGTCACAGACAAGGTTGGCTACATCTTTAAGCGAGCTTCCATTAAAACATACTACAAGCCGCCGAAGAAGATTAGTCAATTTTTACCATCCGTCAAGTGTAATATCCCTCTATAAGATGCAGGAGTGTACAAGTTAGATTGTGAATGTGGTCGCTCTTACATAGGTCAAACAAAAAATCCATAAAAACCCGCGTGAAGGAACATATAGCTAACGTGAAGCACCGACGCTCTGGGAAGTCTGCAGTCTGTGAACATGTTCAAAATCATCCCCACCATTACATCAGATTTGACTCGCAAAAGAACACCGATTCCCATCAAGGATGATACGCGAGGCTATTGAAATGAAAAAACATCCTAATTTCAATAGAGAAGATGGATGGGTGCTGCCAAGTGCTTGAGATCCTATAATTTTTACAAAATTAAACCCAAACCCAAGCATACCACTGCAAGACTTCAAGATACTGTAAGCTCGTTCTGCGAAGATCGCACCGAAAATTAATATTAAAAACTGAAGGTAGCTGGGCTGTGACATTGGGATGTTAAATAACTCAGTCCTCCCCCCCCCGTGACCATGGGTGCTGTAAAGCACCCGTAACGTCGGGAATTTAAAAATAAGTTAAAGTAGTTAATTAAACGCGATAAAATCCGTAAATATAGTTTTATTCAATAAAGAATTAATAAAAACTAAAATCTAACTCCAAAGACCTTCTTTATTTTATTTAATATATTGTCTTGGCACCATTTTCAGAATGTGAAATTATTTTATTGTTTATAATTATTTGAAGTCGGCTTTCATTTTTATTAAAAGTTGTCGTCCCTCAGCTGGTAAGTCGACCCTTTTGTTCTGCAGTTATAAATAGTATATTATGCAGCATAACTACCATAGAGCATAATAAAAAAAGACTTACCTGGCATATTTTATCTGCCTTAACAACTGTCTCATCTTTTTTCTTTCCTTTTAATGCATCTTTGCTGATTTCTTTATATTGGATTACTGTAGTTTTTAAAGATTTCAGCTTCAGCTTCGGACTTACTTCTGTCCAATTGCTATCTAAATATCGGTGAAAGAAAACATAATTAAGAACTAAAACAGAAATGAATCTACCGAACGTATTTTGGATGACAATAAGGGAAGTTATAAATTTTTATGAAAATATATCTATCATATATCCGCTGTGTAATGGCGTCCTGGCGTTGAGCATAGTGGCAAGGTTCTCTAGCGATTCTGCCATAATGATAAGTGTCAACGCAATTTAAAATGCCCGACATGTTCTTTGCAGTCAAGCGCACTCTGAATAAAAATCCGCCACATTGTATATTACAGTGAAGACAAGCGCTACTAGCAATGTTGCCTTTACTAGCAATTTTATTGCAAATCACACACTGTAGCAGCGAATGGACCGCAAGTGTCGATGGATGCACATCGATATAGAACACATTGCCCGTTTGTCAGTAAGAATATGCGGACATAGAGAATAATTATCTCTTGCATACTATTTTCAACTCTACTTTACCTGTTTCAGTTCATTATCAATTTGTTAGTGAATATTACTTAAACATTTTGATGTTCAATTTGCAATGACCTTCAGGTAACAGATAATTAAATACTACTACAACTAAGTAGGGAGGGGAAAAATATTAAAAAATATTTAAACCATAGCAACTCAGAAGATAATCACTTTACATAAAATTTCATAACTTGCAAACAAATAGTTTGATCTGCACCGGCATCCATAACCAATGAAAATATTTATTTATAAATATTTTTTTTTATTGAAGCTGGGTGGCAAACAAGCACATAGTTCATGTGATGGTAAGTGGATGCTATGGCCCTAGACATTGTATTGTACGTCTTTCTTTTAGAATCGAAATGCTGATGTATTGTCACCACCCCTGAGGACTAAGATGGTATGCCTTTCTATCCAGCAAAAAGTTGTATTAAGCTGCTATTTTATGCTGGTTTTCTGTGAGCGTGGTCTTTACTGGAGCTAACCTATCATGCTACAACCATAATATAGATGGAACATGGATCTATCATGCATAACATTTATTTCTATTATCCAATTATCTTATTTAAATATATACTTACCAATAAGATCAAGCAGAGTAGCGGATTGCTTAGTACATTTATGGAATAATTGTCTCCAAGTGGCATTGCAAGAATCATCATGTCCCAAACAATCTACTAAAGTTTCAACTAGAACTCTATTGTATGAATCCAAACTAGTACCACTTAAATATTGATTTGGTAATTTCTTCATTAGTTGGTTAAAGGTCACTTGTAACTTATTGCCGCTTTTATTGAAAAATACATCCTGTAAAGGACATCTGAGATAAGGATAATTTTAAACAAAAGTTAAAGTTGTATAATTAATTGCAGGTGATGTTATTTTATTAAATGTGTTAAAATTCGGAATTAAATAAACATTATTACTTTTAAACACTATCCGAATGAATTCTCATCTCTGTTCTATTTATAAACCAGAATTTATAAACTCTATAAATAAGTGGCGATGACAATGCCACAAATAAATTAATAGAAACAGATGCTACTTTGTGAAAATTCAATAATAATGTTGGGTCCACATTCGACCCACCTTGACATAATGTAAATATCAAGTGTATTTATTGTATTGAGTACCTACTTGTATCAAAAAGATGGATGGCCATTTCGAACATATCATATCACCAGTGGTATTGTGCCAAAAATTGCATCCACACTTAACTATATTTATATAATACAACTGAGAATAGTTGCAATGTTGCCACTTTTACAGTTGATGTGTTATAATGGTTGTTATTTAATTCAAATTCGTAAAATATTTGATTCAAAAATAAACATTTGCCTTTTTAACAGCACAATAGTTATTTCAGAATACTTAACTGTGCAAGTAATAATCAAGTTACCATTTATTACGAGGAATAGATAATTTAAAAAAATAAATGTTTTTTATAAATCCATACCTTATATTTACTTAATTGTTTGATAAGGTCACTTGACAACTCTTTAGATAGACTATTTTTCTTATTATTAATCAAATCGAACATTGTTAAAAGTTGCTCCTGGCTAATTTTAGTGCTGTCCATGTTCCCATGCCTATCCAAGAGCTTAGACAAATATGCTAAAACATACTTTGAATAATTCTTCAACTCAATAATAGGAAGAAACAATTCCTGCCAAACTGAAACAAATAAAATAAAACCAAACTGGTTTTAAGTTATTCATATGTATAAAGACCATTTATTATAGACCTATTTCATATTCTAAACTAGTAGAAGATTGCATCCTTTTATATTATAATATACTAGCTGGTACATAGCACGTTGTCGCAGTAGAAGAAATAATAGTGGAATATCGTTTTAAATTTAGGGGAGTTATATTGCTTAATTAGGAACAATAACAAATTCATTGAAGTTATATGATATATATTTTTCAAATAAAATTGTTGGTGCGATACGCGCCCCATCAGCTGTAAATTAATTTTACTATCCCTATAACCTTCACGCAAGTGCAAGCAATAAGTTGACAAAGCTTTATCACAATCTCACGAACGGTATAGCAGCGCACAAAATACAAACATTGATTTACAGGCTGTTTGGAAGATGGGAGCATAGCCTGAAGGGGAGGATATGGGTACTTTAAACCATTTAGAACATATTATTAAGCTAAACTTGTCATAGGCAAAGTCTGCTACTTTTTTAAATTGACTGCTAATAGGGTCCAGTAACAGTCGTTATTTAACTAATGAAACTAAAGTGTTTAAAACATGCTCGCGCCAACCATATGTATTGTAGCAGACTGAGTGGAGTGCATGTTACAATGTCACGCCCATAGCAAGGGCCCCATCATAGCTCTGGACAAATACATTTGTTTCACAACTGTTATACTCTCTTTAAACTGTAGTATGTATAAAGGTAAAAGAAGTGACTATGTCTAAAGGTGAATTTAGGGTTATCAATTACCTTGAGTAATGTTAAAAAAGATAAACGATGATAGTCTTATCTTATACTAGTGTTTATAATATGGAGGTGTATCTTAACAACCTTATTAAACATCCCAGATATACCTAGTTTTTAAAAAAAGATACAAGTACAAGTGAAATAAAACTACTAAAATTACTAAATATGTGAGGCGGAAAAGCATTGTTTATTATAATTCATAACATACCTTTCATTCCAACAGCAAAATCTTTGAGCCCTCCTTGTCCATATGCCCATAATAAAGAAAGCCCAATAGGAGGTCGGTTTTGGTAAGAGTTTCTTAAGCTGACACTTTTTGGAATTGATGCTGTGCAGAATTCGGGAAACTCTAGAGCAAGCATTTGCAAGAGAAGCCTGTGCCCATTTACTAACTGACCTATAAAATAAAATATATAACATAAATATCAAAATGCATAAGATTTTTCTGTAGTGCCCATGTGAAACTGTTTTTAATGTTTAACACTTAAATTGCCATCAGTCATATTTTAAATACAATACTCTGCACAAAGTGACTAACATGGCAGTCAAAGGCTTAAGAATTAACAGGGGTAACTATGAAAGGCAATCATTTTATTAAATTACAGAGTATGTAATTAAAAATAAGATCACAGATTTTCAAAATGTACATTATATTCCATTTCCATTACATTTTGGCCTATGTAGAAGTCAACTGCTGAACATAGGTCTTTTACAGAATTAGGGTAACCAACAAGCACTCACTCCACCCGATGGTAAGTGGATACTGTGGCCATTAGACATCTACATTTATATTCGATTAAGAATCAAAACGCAGATGCGTTGTCACCCCTGAGGACTAAGATGGAACGCCTCGTTTCCAGTAAAAGAGGGTCCCTGGATCTCTACTCTCACCATACAAAATATAGCAGTATTAAGCTGCTATTTTACATTCGTATTCTGTAAGAGCGTGGTCCTTACTCGATCGAACCGAACCCATTCATGCTACAACCATAATACAGCTGCAGCTTGGCTCTACCATGTACAATAAAAAGCCTCATAGGGGCGATTTTTCCACAGTTGCCATGTTTGGGCAGTTTTTAGGGTTCCGTAGTCAACTAGGAACCCTTATAGTTTCGCCATGTCTGTCTGTCTGTCTGTCCATCCTCGCTTAATCTCTGTGACCGTTAGCACTAGAAAGCTGAAATTTGGTACCAATATGTATTTCAATCACGCTGACAAAGTGGTAAAATAAAAATTGGAAAAAATGTTTTATTAGGGTAGCCCCCCTATATGTAAAGTGGGAAGTGATTTTTTTTTAATTTTAACCCTAACGTGTGATATATTGTTAGAAAGGTATTTAAAAATGAATAGGGGTTTACTAAAATCATTTTTTGATAATGTCAATAATTTCGGAAATAATCGCTCCAAAAGTAAAAAACAATGTGCACCCCCCCCCCCCACTAACTTTTGAACCATAAGTTTAAAAAATATAAAAAAAATCTGAAAAGTAGAACTTTATAAGGACTTTCTAGGAAAATTATTTTGAACTTGGATGGAAACAACAGTTTTTGTACAAACTCATAAGTGGGAACACTTACTGTGACGGACGGGAAACTACGGAACCCTACACTGAGCGTGGCCCGACACGCTCTTGGCCGCTTTTTATTTTATTCTTTGGAGTTGTTATCAGGAAAATGCTTATGTCAGTCTCCTGGTTTTTGTTTTCCCCTCGGTCGCCTCTTACAACACCCACAAAAGGGTATTCATATTCACATACACGTACACGTAGGGTAGTGGATATTCTTACACTAATATTATAAATTAATAATTAATAATTATAAAAAACGAACCTCTACTCATATCATTAGCTAACGCGGTGAGAGTAACATCAAAAAATAATTGATTGTTGGCTTTCCCAGCATCTTTTAAAACATTTTCCAAGCTGCTCTTAATTTCTGCAGGAATAGCACAAAGTGGATATGTTGGTGGATAGTTTGAGAAAGTAGGATCATCAACATCTATTTGTGTTTTTGAATTAAGGTAATTAGCAACTTCTTTCAGCCAAACTAATGGAGCATTAGAAAATCGTATTTTATTAGTTGTTATTATATTTGCAAGTTCCGCTGGGTCAATCTGTAAATAACAACATTTAGTTAATAATAAATTATATTTCTATTATATTAAATATTTTTAATATTCAAACTACTTTTCAGCCAACTTCAAAAAAACGAGGAGGTTCACAATTTGACTATGTTATTGTTTTATGGTTGTTACACAATATTTTTATCAATTATGAACCAATTATAATGATTTTTTGACATATATTTAAAAAAAAGGTTCAACCCCAAAAGCTGAAAAAATAGAGGGTGAAGTTTTTTAATACAACTACTTAAATGACATTTAAGCTTTTCATATTCCATAGACCACTCCTACAAATGTTTAAAAAATAGACCTTTAACAAAAACTAAAAGCAAACTACAAAAATAAAATAAAATAATTTCTTTTTTAGCTGCTTTTGAAGTCAGGGCTGTAATACTTCCATGCACTATGTCTTACTCCAACTTCTGAAGCTAGAAATCATTTTAGTGTTCAGAAGTTGGATTTTAAGCTTTACTAAAAGTATAATTTTAAATTGAAACAGACCTTCAACCTGTTATGTAAAATTTTTAAAAATGTTGTGTAAGAATAATCTTATTTGGTAATGGATACAACTCTCAGATCTACCCTTCACTTTTTACCTCTGTAAGATATTTGTAATGCAATTGTATAAGGCATGTAAAAGACAGACTGCAGTAGAACAGATTTATTATTCAAGAATGTTATACTTACAAATTGTTATTATTTTAACTAAAACTTAAATCAATGGCCGTTTGGTAAAGAGTTGGCAACTGCAGTTTTTATTATTTTAAGTTAGTAAGTAAGCCCTTCCCCTGTTTCAGTTTCTTTCAATCACCTCCTACCACACCAGGCAGTAGATATTCTAACAGAGCCAATACACAGTTATAACATTCTAAATTTATAAATAATTATAATGACACAATTGCTGTTCATTTATAAAATAAAAATAATTTTTTGGATTCAATCGCGTGACCAAGGCTGCTGTAAAAGCCCGAAATATCAGGCATTAAAAATTAATAATCAAACAATAAAATCCGTAAAATTAGTTTCATTTAACGTGTAGTATTCCCGTAAATATAAGAAATCATTTAACTTACTGCTTCCAAAGCTCCTTCAATGGTTTTAGGTGGCTTAGGTTTAGGAGGTTCAGCTTTCTTATCCTGCTGCTTCTTAGCCTTTTTGTCTCCCTCCTTCTTTTTCTCTTTTGGCGGTTTTCTGGTATCATCTATTTCCATGCCCGCATAAAATGATTTTATTTGAGAATGAGGTACTAAAACCAGAGAGTAAAACAGATAAATTATAAAGTTTAGTTCAATAAGTTTATTCCATTATTCTAAATCGAACTTACAAATATCTTCAAGTTTAGGAAGATTTTTTTGCGGTTTCTTCTCATCTTCTTTAACATTTTTTACCTTACCATTTTGAGATTTTTTGCTTTTTCCAACAATTTCCCATTGACCGGTCGACATAATAAAAATTCGAAACAAATTCCGATTAATTTCAAGATATTGTAAATAAAGGGAAAGCGACAGGTTACACGACACACGTCAAAAACAAATCAAATGATACCAAAAATCACAAAAATGTCAAACTGAAAGAAGGGAGCTTTTCATTGGGCAAGAAATTCCACTTGGACAAAACGTGGCATTGTAAGCAGGGCTGCCAGCAGTGCCAACTTATTTTATACCCTTGGGTTGAAATCATACAAAATTAAATCTGATCAAATCTTATTTATAAAACCAAAAAAAATTAAATAATCAAAAAATATTTATTTTACTGCTAATCTTTTCCCGATTGAAGTAAATTAAAAAAAAAGACGGTTGTCATCAAGTAACAAATACTATGGATATGGAGTGTAGAAGTAAGGAGTACCAATTCCCATAGTAGAATATTTGAAAAAGTGGTCATCTGTAAGCAGTAAATAACAGCTCAAAAACTCTACACAACAGCGCTGGAGTAGCTACTAGGTAGGTAGGTAGGTAAGGAGTACAGACTCTATATAAAAAAGTGCCCGTAGGAAAGCGTTAAATAAACGCATTCGAATCAAGAACTCTTTTTTCCCACAGACCTTTTTAAATATTCTAAAGTATAATAATATGTACCACCCGTGGGGTTAAAGAGTGGGATTAAAAATAGCGAGCCTCTATTCACCTTTTGCTCGTACACTATCGCTATCTATACTCACAACCACCGGTAAAGAATGTAAAAAAATACCGTTGTGATATGCGTTTTTCATACATTCTATAAATTCAGTCCATATTCAGTATATATATATATATATATATATATATATATATATATATATATATATATATATATATATATATATATATATATATATATAATATATGTCGCCGCAAGGATATCTTGTAAGCCTAAACTTTGCATTGTCTTTTAATTTTTTATAAATTATAATTGTTAATATTACAATTTAATAACAGCAATTTATCAGAAACATAACATGTAACTAGCTAGTTCTTTAAAAACTCTTTTGGTTTACAAATCTCTTTATTGACAACTAATTCCTGGTAAAACAACTATTTATTCCATAATCAACTTTTAACTCAAATATTGTTTTAAATCGTAGAATAAATAATTGTCGATTTGATAATTAATCCTGGTAATTGAAATTGCTTAAGTAACCTAATGAATTCAATAAAAAGTTATTGTTTAGTCAAGTATTGACCAATCAGAGCACACCTAAGTCGTTATTACGTTTTCCTTATTGAATGAACGCGGGAACAGAATCACTTCAGTTCCTGCCCTCGTCAGTGTAGTTCTATTTTCCTGGTAAAACTTTGCAAGTATTATTTGTGAGTCTCATAATAGGAAGTGTAGAATAAAGTTGTAGTGCAAAATTAAAAGTGTGTGGTCTTAGATCTCTTTCATTACAATGGAAACAGTATACGGTAACTCGACTGAACCCTTGTCAAATGGGGACAGTGGTGCTGCCTCACCATAAAAACAACCACTGGGTTTTCCGCTCCAACAATCATGTAGTTGTGTCCTTCACATTGCGCCGGTGTGTAATTGTGACAGGGACACACTGCAGTATGGTCAAACTGTAATTACTCTATGCTGAATGTATAGAGCGTTACGCTGTCCTATTATTGATGACAATAAATTGCGCAAACAAGAGAGCAAGTTGAACATCAGCTCTCACATTTTTACCATTTTTAATAATTAACACTATCCTGTTATTTCCCACACAATTTTGGCTTATCGTGTTATACTTTCTGACATATATATAATAAAAAAATATCATAAACCACAAAAAATTCAGTCCAGTTTTGCCTATTTGTGGGCTACGACGCGATCTGAGTTTTCACAATTTAATGATATTAAATTTTTAAAACTGTTTAGTTATTTCTCAATGGTAAAACCCATTGAGAAAAAAGGACTTTAATGATTATTTTAAGTCTAAATTACGCCACATTATTAGAAATCAACCAGGCATATCCAGAGCGGGTCGTTAGTTATAAATTTAATATTAAATTAATGTACCTACTTGCGTGTACAGTTTTATTTATTTTATTTATGTACAAATCAAGATACAGAAACAGTCTTATCGTAAGTTTGTACAAAAATTCTACTTATTCCATAATTTGCTGAAATATCTTCCAGTAAAGAGGTATGTAAGGATCGTGACACTTGGCGATCTGTTCTCTCTGGCTACCCCGTTAGGGATTGTGCGTGAAGATAAGTAAGTAAGTAAGTAAGTATCTTCCAGTAGACCCATAAAGGAAATTATATTTAAATGGCAAACTTAGTGCATACATTACTATCACTAATGAAACGACTACTAATTTTTTTTTCAAATATTTTCTCATTGATAGAAAATTTCCAATTAACCGAATAATATAACGTTAAAACGATATTTCGTTATTAGCGGGTTTTCTCTATCGTCACTGTTTATGTTGACGGTACGGACTCTAAGAGCCGACATATTTAACATCATTCTTTTCTCTACATCTACCTCTTTTGCGATTATCAGAATGCATATGCGTTGTCAGCCGTGAGGACTAAAGGCGTTAGTACACCTACGCATTCGTATGCGGCAGCGAGTCTCTGCGGAACTACTGCGTAGCGAAATATCTGCGGAACTTTAGTACACAGCAATGTTTTCGCAACTTTTTCGCAATGATATGCCATTGTAATTTTCGACGACTGCAGGTGCAGACGTAATTTCAGAATGTCATCTCAGTCATCGCTTTCAGATTCTGAAGAAGAAGAATTGTTATTGCTGGTGTCAGTACTAAAAAATTAAATTAGAAACCTTTCTAATGAGACCTTTCACTAGAGACGCAGCAATGAATGACAATGATAAAAAAAGATTTAATAAATCATTAAGTAGGACACGAGTAGTAGTAGAATGTGCGTTTGGCATTTTAGCACAAAAATTTAGAATATTCTTGAGGCCCTTTGAAACAGATTTGAATAATACTATTAAAATTGTTAAAGCTGTAGTATGCTTGCATAACTTATTGCAGATACAAGAAGGTGCACACACATACGAAAATAAACAATTTTCGGACACTTTAAGAGCATTCGTACCAATGCATGCCAATAGACATAGGGCTGACTTAGCAGCGTTTAATGTTCGATCACAATTTGTAAATTATTTCAAAGAAAATTAAAAACATAAAATGTATGACTGTATGAATTATAAACAATAAATTTTTTACCATCTATCCCAGTTTTTTCTTGAAGTTTTCTCCATGCTACCTCTTTTTTGTACGTATTTTTATAATCTGCGTGTCCAATTGCGTATAATACGGGATAATCTCGAATAGAATGGAAAAATAATTCAGTATTTTCGGCATCCATGGCGCGAAAATCTATCCTCACCGACAGAACGCGAGCTGACGCTTTGCGATGCGAAACATCACTAGCGAAACGTATGCGTCTGTGTAACGGCCATTTCGCAGGTCCTTGCGAAACAATACTGACAAGGACGCAACTATTTCATCTATCTATGTGCTAGAGTGAGACATATCATATGCGAAAACCTGCCACACTACTTACAGTTTTTTCGTTGTTTCGCTACCGCATACGAATGCGTAGATGTACTAAAGGCGTAGGATGGAATGCTTCTTTTCCAGTAAAAAGGATCTTCGGTTCTCTACAATCATCAGCAGCATTTTGACGCCGATATTCTGTTAGAGCGTGGTCCTTCCCCGGTCGAGCCAACCCACTGGTGCTACAACTATACTACTAATATAACTGCAGCATGGCTCTACCAAGATTCTTTATCCGCACGGGCTATACCATAGATACATGAGATTGGCGATGGAGTGATTAGGGTGAGACCAAAAACGAAATGTACAGTTGTGAGTGAAATGCGCATGTGTGCGAGATTAATAGTGTTGCGCAATGCATCAACTTCAATTATCGAGCCAGAGCACTCTGTCTATATCATAAGATGAATATCTTTATGTTTGAGGCCATAAAAATAAAATAATAAACAAAAAGTTTGTGATTTTTATTTTTCACCAAAAATAACTAATTTATTTTAAAAATGTCATAAGCTCTCCTTAGAGGTATTTTGCAATTTTGTTTCAAAATTCAATCTAATAATCAAATAACTTTCCATTATTAATTGTATATGGTTTGATGTTGCTGGCGAATCATACATAGTAACTGAATGACCGAGCTTTGCTCGTTTTTTTTTTTGAAATTACATTTAGATACAAATTACATACTGATGAAACATGAATAATATTTTTTGATCTTATTGACATAATAAAAAAATTAAATTGGTTATTTGATTAAAAAATCATGAGTGCAATTAGTTTAATTAAAATTTTCGTATTTTTAAAAAATACAAAAAAAGGGGGATAAGTCGCTCGCGTCCGTAGGCTATGACCACCTATTCCTAGGCCCACCCTACACGTGTCCCCCGGGTGGTGCTAAATGAGCGACAAGCCGATACCACAGACTCGGCTCCACGCCGTGGTAGCGGCGTAAAACATACTACCCAATATTTTCGCACATGAGGAACTATATAAAAGAAATGGCCCCGAGTTCCCGGCGCCCCTTTAATGGGGCAGGGGTGCGAAGAATCTCCGGGAGGACAACCGGCGACGAGGTTCGCCACCCATCACGTTCTGTCTCCCGGAGAGGCGAAAAGTGGATTGCAGAGGCCCGTCTGGCTACGTTGAATGTATGTGGGGCAATGAATGATAAAATGGATGAAGTGTGCGATATGATGTATGATAGAGGAATAGATGTGTTATGTGTAAATAAGACGAAAAGGAAGGGGAAGGATGTCACTACACATGGCATGTATACCGCATACTGGTCTGGTGTAGACGAGATCGAGCGGGCATGCCAGGGGGTAAGTATCATCCTTTAAGAAAGAATGGGCCAATGTGTGAAAGAGTATGAATGTGTAAGCCCAAGACTGCTATGGATACGAATGAAAGTGTGCTTAAAGAAGTTGTTTGTGTTAGGGGTCTACGCCCCAGAC